TCACAAAATATAAAGGTTTTGCAAAACCCATTCACATGCATCTAGAAAATGTAATTCACCATACTGTGTTAAAATTTAAATTGTTTACCTGCTGTCGTTTGTGTATAATAAAATTTTAAAATTCATGGAATTTTGTATCTGTAAAATGCTGCGATCTATTGGTACTGCTATGAACTACGGGATTCTTATAACCGGTACAGTCCCTGCTGCAAGTATACATTAATGTTGAAATTCATGTACATAATATTATTCGCATAGTTAAGCTCGTGGTGAAAAGAACTATTTAAAATTTTGTGGTATACAGGGTGGAAAAGAGACAAAGTACAAAATTTAAGGAAATGAAAGTTAAAATAGTAAAAAAATTCCTATAAAACTTCATACTCCGGAGCACCGTTATTGCGATTGGTCCTCCAACGGGGTGTTATTTTTTAAAATAATTTTCTTTCTGATTAAGATATGGAATGAAAATTGTAGGTAGTAATTATACCATAAGAGCCTTTAACTATCATAAGTTTTATCAAAATCGGTTATAAATAAGAATAGTTTTCTAAATACCCTTAACGGAAATTTTTCGAATTTTTTTATTCCTTTGAATTATCAAGCAAATAATATTATTTTTTAATGAATTAAGACTGTTTTGAAGAAAAAATGTATCTACCTTTTTTTCGAATTCTGCTTAGTTTGGTCAGAAATAATAATTATTTTTTAAATATTGTATGGCTCCGAACAATAACTTTTTTTTTAACATTTTCACATAGTAGGTACCTATTTTTCATGGTGACAGTTTCATAGTAATGATACTAATGATTATCTCTTTTAAATCCTTACGTTTCTTTATTTTCTTACTTGTGATCTTTGTGCTTGACTTTGCATTTCATTCGATTTTTTTACAACCATGTACCATCATGAGTTGAAAAATCCTAAAATTACTTCGTCTAAATGATGCGGTATGATACGATTATTACCTACAATTTTCATTCCATTATCTTCAGAAAGAAAGTATTTTAAAAAATATCCCAATTATATGTAGGGGTACTCTACTTTCAACTCCTTAAATTTTGTACCAACTTTTCCAAACACCCTGTATAATACTTATTAACTAGAAAAAGAAAACTAATATTTCAAATAAACTATATTTACCTTGTATTTTTGCATTTAAACAATCTGCTGTTCACATAAATTTAATAGGTATACAATTAATTTTAATATGCAAAATTATTCCCGCCTTTTTTTATTCTACAGTTCATCTTGTCAGTCAAAAACAAATTTCTGTGCACAGCTTGCATTGCTCGATTAGAGAAGAATTATTTTCCATTCAAACACAAAAAAAAAACGTTTTCAAATTGAACAAACTATGGCGGAATAATTGAACGAAGCATGGGTTCTATTAAATTCAACTGCAATTTACATTGACGTCTGATATCAATGTTCGGGAATCTTTTCTCGTCCGACTGTACCGCACCACGTTTTTTGCACTCGCTGCGTCTCACTCAGAACTTTACTGCTAAGTAAATACAGTAACGCAAAAAACAGATATTGATAAAGAAGTGTACAAAACAAATCCGTAAGTACGTCTGGCAATATTACCAAAGCGCTGTTTATATGTTGCTAGGATACGCGTAGCAATTCGGGCCGCTGCATTTGATTCTTCCTAAAATTCTGCTGGTGGTGTAGTACTCTATCGGCAATTCGGTTATTTAAAACTGCTGGCCCATTCCAGTAGCGGTCTGTGGCGATAGCTATTTTGTCTTTGTTTATACTTACGGTCAAGAATTTGTGCACCCCCCAAATCACAGCTTTTGTTAAACAGCCTAATTCCACCAACTACTCTTACAAGTTGGCTTAAATGAGCCTCTTTATTAGCTAGAGAAAACCCCATGAACTCTTTGACCTCCTCTTCATTCATCACACTCTTAAAAGCGGCTAGGGCTTCTAAATATACCTATTTATTTCAACGAAAAATATTTGTCGTACATATATTTTACTCTGCAGATATTTTAATGACTTATTTACCTCATTTTCCATGGGGTTCCCCAGACCCGAAACTAAAGTGATATAGAAAACGATTAACTTCATAATATTATCGACATCACTTTCGGAATCAGGATTGTTCACACGACAAATTTCGTTCTTCAAACGGACCAACCGTTCCAATATCTCGCCCCTGTTTTTCTTTACCACATTATTTATGTTCTCCAGGTTACAGGTGAAGTAGAACTGCATTTCTAAAGTGATGAGTTTGGGGTCGTTTTTATCTTCCAACTTGCGTATCACGAAGGCTACAAATTTCGCTACATTTTCCCTACTGGTTACAAAATCATCAGTGACACCCCAATTAGGATCTAGCAACAGCAGTTTGATCTGAAAACATTTCGATATTTATTTACATTATGATATTTTTGTAAAATGTTTTAGGTATTTTATTATATCCTGTGTTCTACTTACGAAATAGGCCACAAAATTTTCATTCGGGTATATTTTTTTTGGATAACATTCCCTCATAATCTCTTTTACAATATTTCTTTCGATATTGTGGTGGACATCCATTTCATTTTGCATGGTTACTGTTTGATCAATATCACTTGAGCGAATCAAAAGGTTTGCAGTAATAACTGTGACAAACTGAAATCAAATTATGACAAAAATGACATTAACAGTTTGGTTGGATAAGTCTCTAAAGTAGTAAATAGGCTTGTTAATAGCTATTTACTTATACAAATGTGTGTAATGGCAAACATAATTTGATAACAGAATGAAATTTCCCAACTGGTCCCAAAATTTGTATGTACTTTTCAAAGGAAAAACGTAGTAGTTTAAATTTTAAAAGGAGACAAATAATACGTTTATTTTATTTTATATCTTTAAAGGGGGTTTGAATACATATTATTACTTATTGTAAATATACAACAAACACAAAATTTACATAAATTAAATACCTATATTAAAAATGTAAACAAAATTGAAGTTTCTCATATTGGCTGGCTAAACTTGTGACATCTCTTAATACCTTGCTGAACTTGTATAGTAGATTTGTCATCACTTTTGGAATCCATTTATGGGAAACATTGAGTTTCACAGAAACCCGCTAGATGGCGGCATCGAGAGCGAACTGACTGTCTTCAAACAACAAAACAAAAACGATCAAGCAACTAAAAACAGTTGACTGCCAAGAGGCGGTGGTGTAGTAGAGTAGATAGATTGTGGTTGTTGATGTTGCTTGTGTATAGCTGAGGATTTTTGTGCATTATGATTCCGTTCGTATAGTGGACAATGGCGAGATTAGTGATTTATGTTTATCTGGTGATATTGTCAGTGTCCAGTGTTACCAATGAGGATAGAATAGGAAAGTCTTGGTTAGGTGAGTTTTGTAAATTTTTCGATTTAACTGCACTTCCTAATGTAGTTAGTTGGCCGATGTGTGACTTAAAAGGGCTTATGTGTCGGCCGAATCTGATTAAAACGAGGTCGATATAAGTGTATGATCTTATAAATAAAGTTAACTGATTGATACACAGCACGCGATAGTTTAAGTTCCATCAAATTAGGGAACGTGTTGCTTTTTTCTTGTAATATTGAATATAAATAAAAACTTCGGCAAAAATCCAATGTATTATTTCTTTACGTTTTTTTTTTCAAGCAATGTGGTTAATCGTATTGACATTAACATTAAATTATAATTGAAAAACCCTCGATAAACTAAAAGTAAAAAAAAATCCATTAAAAGCCGTAGCTAGCACAATGAATTTAAGAAATATTTCTTACTGACCGACATGATTTTTTCTGGCCTAGGTATTTTATTATATCCTTTTTTTTATCATTAGCAATTGACGAATTGTTATTATATTGATGGTCAATAATGCTTGACCAAGAGTTCGGCCTTACCGTGACCCTGTTATTCATTTGTTTCATTGTTTCCCGATGAAAATCAAATTCGGAAAGCAATTTATACACTCAACCCTGATCTAAAACCTATGGTTGTATTTATAAATGATTATTATATGTGTATAAATACATTTAAGCCAACTCTTAGGATTTATAATCGTATTATATTAATCGTAATTTCAGAATAGGAATTACTCAAATTTTAATAAAAAAATGTACAAAATCCTGGTGTATAATCTTAGTAAGTACATTTATATTTCAGGATAACCTCTTTGAATGCCTTTTGTGTTTATGAAATGTATGGTTCCAGATAATACATAACCCATAAGGTCCAAATGTATTTGTTCGTAGTCTTATTTAGATTAGAGTCGTTATTTCTAGACATATGCCCATCTAGATCTAGATATGGCAGGGGAGTGCAATATAACGCCTGTTTTCCACATGTTTATGCACGTGTTATCGTAAAATAGGATACTGGTCCCAAAAACCCTTTTTGAATGAAATTAAATACTGTTCCAATAGACACAATATAGACAGAATTTCAAATATTGAGAAAAAAAAATTAAATATGTATTAAGTACACATTTATATAATTTTTTTAGATTACCAATTTCCAAATTCTTCCTAGGTACCTACATTATCTTATAACAGTTCATCTAACTGTGTTTGCGTGGTTTTTAGTGACTAACACTAAAGATACCTCGACCAATAAAACCTTATTCCGATCTATTTATATATCTTACACGGTAAAATTAGCCTATAAAATGTCACTCGGCCTTAGCTAAGTCGACTAGAGAGACATAAGTATTTTTAAACAAGATTAAACTCTTGCATAAGTCTGTTCCTTCTAATGAGTTCACTTTTCCTAGCTGTATCCTTTATAGACCAATAAAAATAAAGGAAAAGTTGCCACAAATACGAATCTGATAATGTTAGGTCATTTCTGAGACACCCTGTATGTATTTATAGTTTTTAAGTGCAGATTCGTGTCTCTGACGTTTCTAAAAAGTCCCGGCTCGTTCGGCGAATAATTATTACTAATATTTAACGTCAAGGTAGGCAGATAATTATTATTTTGTTTATTTAACACGCGTGAGTCATCCGGCTGCAATTGCACCGTGTCGAACAAAGCAAAGCGGAGAAAAGTAGGCCATAATCAATGTACAACGTGCAACTCGAGGTGCAACTGTTACCTTCGCAATAGGGGTACTGCCCATATTTGCTAAGAAGTGGTGTAACGCCAATTGGCCGGTCTAGTTTTGAAATTTAAATTTTTCTGTCCCTTATATGCCGAAGGGTAGAAAACATCTTAAGTAGGCGTATAAATTTGAGAAAAGTTTAAAAAATACATTTAGGTTTAAAAATTGATATATCATTAAAAACTCGATAAATACTTACTTATACATGAATCTAATAGGGTTCACAAAAACCTGGAAAATCTAGAAAAGTCAGGGATGTCCGGAAAATTAATGGGTTGCCATCTTATTACGTCTACATTTAAATAATAAGCATTAGAAAAACAACGGAGTTTTTAAAAACCCTGTGCGTGTGCTTAATTACATTTAGCGCCAAAAATATCCATACCAGATATTTAAATAATTTAAAAAATGAGACAAAAAAATTTTTAAAATAGAATTTTTGTTATAGAAAATGTTAATTAGACATGCATAAGCATACACCATACGTATAAAACAGTTACGGGCTTGATTGTGAGGTAGTCATAGGTGTTGAGACCCTAAAAAAAATAATAATAAATAATTTTTTTACATGAGTAAGTAATACTTACTAAGACCCAAATAAATAAAGATTTATATCTATCAAGAAGTTTGCAGCTCAAGCCGTTGTAAAGCTCGTTGTAAAGTTATAAGAAAAAGATGTTTCGCTGAATATCTTGGTAGAATTTGACTTTTATATATAGAGTGGTCTAAATAATTGTATTTTGACCCCAGGTCAAAAGGCCAGCTGGAACCTACATTTCAGGGACACCCTGTATGTACCATCTTTTTCTAAATTTAATATAAAAATAATGTTTTTTTAATAACGTATTTTATACAGGGTGTATCATTAATTTAAATGCTACGCCATAGTTTTCTGTACGTACATGAATTCAGTACAAAAAATTGATGAATATCGTATAAGTTTGAAATTTCTAACGAAAGTGTTGTTTATTTATTGGCGCTATTTATCCAACTTTAGGTTGTTTCACGTTTTTTTAAAAAGTGAAATAGCAGGATAAGACTTTTTATAGGTTAGTTTGAAGAGCATAAAAATAGCTACATTTTGACGCCAAAAAGGGTTCGATATCTTTTTTTGCTATCAAGTTATTCCCAAATTAGTGAGCAAAAAATAAATAATGTTAATGGATTGACGAACACGACGCTAACGAAAAGACATTTAGGTAATTACGGAAACAAAATGCGTTTATGAAAGAACCTACCTAAGCACGCAACGAATGATAAATTCCTGCATTGAAAATAATGGTATGCATTTCGAACATTTATAAACATCTTTACTTTTATTAAAATTTAATTGTCCTTTCGTTACATAATATCAATATCTGTTTGTTATTATTTTTGTTATTTTTTCAAGATTGTTATTGACTTACTCATTCGTGTGGGTTTATGTGGGTTCTTTTATAAACGCATTTTGTTTAGGTAATAAGTTTCATATTATTTTTATGCTGGTTTTAGTCGAATTTAATAATTTTTTTCCTCTTTAATACATGAATATTACCGAAATATTGTTCAAATAATATTGAGAATTATTCAAATATTCATGCTCAAACATCAAATTACTCCAGCACTTTCTCGTTTGTATCTTTAGTTGTTCTTGATTGATAAACGCAACCAATAAGTCCTAAAAAAGTTTTATAGTACTCTTTTTCTCGCTCTTTTTCTTTATTTTATATTTATATATGTATAATAAAATATTTTCAAGGTCAGTAAAGTAGTGATAAAAATATTAAACCAACAGGATATGAGTCCAAACATAATTATTAGAATTTGTCGTGTAACAGGAAAATTTGCAAAAATTTAAATATTTGCGTTTTGTGGTTTTGAAAAAAAACCTGCAGAGATTAGATAGCGGTTGAGTTGGAAGAAGAAATATCTAAAAAGAACATTCTGTCGTGCAACATAATACTTACATGATTTTTTTTCTTTTGATATTATTTGGTATTTGGTCCTTGGCCTTGCTATAAAAAAAATCGTTGACATTTTCAGATCCTTTCAAGTTGCTAGAATACAGAATACAAATTAAAGAACTGGATTTTTTTCTTGTTTTGAAGTCATTTAGTCTCGAATTTATAGAAAACAAAAACAACCATAACCTTGTTTTTTTCATTTGGCCCTCGGATTTTCCTGTACCCCGAAGGCTTACTATAATATACGGGACAATATCATCTGGGTGGAGCCCAAATTCAGTCTTTTAATTTTTGTTTTACTTATTTCGTTCACTGTTCCCAGTGGCGTAGGTACAATCTCTTAATAAATTTACATATAGTTTTTGTCATAAAAAAACCTAGCTCTAGCAAAATTTATTAACAAATCTGTAAAGGTCTTAAGAAAATAAAACATCTTTGCAGAGTCGATTCTAAAATGTATCAGTAGAAAGTCGTTTTCACTATAAACGACATTCGTTTTTTTTTGTAAATTTGTCTCCTTGAAAATCTTTGTAATTTTTAGAGATCTTTTACTTAAAGAAAATTCTAGTAAAAATGTTCATAGACTTTTTTTCTAAAATTACAATTTTAAGTGTAATATAACCATGTGAAATAATTAGAAATGTTACTCGTATAACTTTTTGGTATCATTTAATATCACATTTTTTGAAATAAGAGAATTCCTTTTTTTTTAACAACATTGACCACTTCTGCCACCCAGCAGACGGCATTAGAGAACAAAGAACTTGCAGTATGAGGAATGATCGAGTATTATCTGGAGGACAATGATGTTGGATTTATGTGACGGTGCCGTTAGAGGGAAAATTAAAAAGTTGCTCAACGGACCATACCAGCATTAATAAAAACACGACGAACAATGCGACGCAAGAGGAAACACCATACAAATGCATCCAGTATCCGGTTGAAAGACGTCAACCGAGGCGACAGTCATCTGTCGGGTACATTGGCGTGCAGCATATTCCTCCGTGCGGGTCTTTTGACCTAACTATTGTTTTCGTCATTAAGTCTTCAATTATCATAAGCCGTATTAGGGAAATTTAATTATAAAATCGAAAATCCTATACCTTTTTAATTTTTTATATTTATTTTCTTTTAAAATCTGCTAATCTTGTAATTGTCTGTCATAAGCAACATTTTCTGTTGTATAAAATCCGAGATAAAATCAGAATTAGTTATATAAAAGTTATTTAAGTAATTGTAACGATAAAATCTAAGGTGCTTTAGTTTTGTAAATGGTTTTTAAAAGGACTTGCAAAATGTTGCTTATCACCTTGATAATAAAACTTAGTTTCTGT